ACTGTGGGGTTCCAGTAGCTGAAGGTGCTGGTGAATGTGAGGATGCTGGAGAATTGAAAAGCCTATTTCAGATGTTTAAGATTCATCCATAAACGTCTGCTTTTCTAGAACCACACCTGGTACCACACTGTGTATCAGTTAGTATTCTCTAGTTCTCTCTCTAGCTCCCTCCCTCTCTCTCTTTCTCCCTCCCCCCCCTCTCTCTCCCTCCCTCTCTCTGGCATTGTTTCATCTGCAGCCCAGTGACTTCACCTGAAACCTCACCTACTAATTATGCTTCTGAAGCCACCACTGCTTCCCTGCTGAGGCCACAGCCCGGGGAAGCCTTCATGTCCTCTGCTGTTGCTCAGCCACCTCCATGCAGGGAGGCAATTGTTGTTCTTGGCTGTCTCTATTTTTAATGTTCCCGGTGAAAATTCAGAAGACAGATGCTGGGGTGACAACCTGGCAGCTCAGAGAGGCAGAGAGAGCAGCCAGGTGCTTCCTATTTTGCCATCATCCCAGAAAGGACTTTCCTATACCTCTGTTGCAAACAAAACCTCCTCCGACTGGATGGCCCTCCTTCTTACTTCCTGTGACTCTCTTTTCTCTCTGACATCCTGACTTCCACTCACTCTCCATGCTTACTTCCAGTCAACTGGTTGCTTGCTCTGCCTCTTGACCAATGGTTGATTGTATTTAAATAAAGCAATCTCAGGGTTCACAGTATGATCAGGCATCCCAGGACATTGTGGGATTTACTAGAATGACTACAGGCTGAAGTTCAACTAATCCAAAAATGGCTAGCTATGGACACAAAGTCAACTAATCTAGTAGTTGCTTAATCCCACAAATCTGGGTGACTCAGTTGCTCTTCAGTATTTGTTAGAATCCTGAAGAAGTAGGCCCCAATGCCCGTGCAGGAATGGATGTGTTAGCAAGGTGAGGGCAAGCAGGAAATGAGCGAAACCTCCCTTCTTCCATATCCTTAGGCTCCAAGAAGAAGGTATGGCCCAAATTAAAGGTGTGCCACTTGACTGGAAATCTGGATCGAAGGTGTGCTGTCTTCACACTTCAAGTTTCAAATCACAGGTGTGTCTTCCTACCTCAAAGGTTCGGAATAGAAGTGAATTCATGAACTTCAAATGAAGCAGAATGGCTCTCACAGGTGTACCCTCCATATCTGAATTTTAGCTCATTCCACATACAATCAAGATGATAACCAAGATTATCCATAAAACCTTTCTAGGCCCAAACTCCATTCTATCTGTGTTTCCTACAAAGAATCTGGAGGTGTTGTTTGTACCTCTGGTCTTGGTGATGTCAAACACAGGATAGGAGCCATGACTTCTTCTCAACTTACAAAGAGGAGCTATTCACTTAGCAACTGATCCATTCAAATGGCACAATGAAAGCCTGCATTGCTGTACATAGTCCATATTGTCTATCCACTTCTATGAAATAGTAGCCCACAGGAAAAGGGATGGTGCTGGCTGAGCATCCCTGTTCTCTCTGAATCTGAGGTAGCCTGTTTCACGGCACCTTACTGAACCCATCCACATTAGTTTCCTTCATCATAAGTTGAAGAGGCTGAGGGAGTCTTGGTAGCTCTATTTCTGTGTTCCTCTCCTGTGTTCTCCTGGTTAAGACAGAAGACATGGCAGCTGGATCTCACCAGGTATTTTATTACCATAGGTTCAAAGTCACAAGTTCGAATGGCACAGGAAGGACTGCTGGGATCTCCTAGAAAATATCCGCTTATTGAACTGAGGAGAGCTCCAAAAAGGTGGAGTATCCAGGTCCATGCCCTAAGCATAGAAGTGACAAGGATCCTGAGACCATGGCCGGTGACAGTGATAGCTGTGCTATGGAGGAGGATGAGATCCTAGCTGCAGATCTCTGGCCTGTGGCCCTGGATCCTTCAGTTACCGCCAGGCCCTGTCCAACCCTTGCTGTCTGATGCTGGACTGCTCCCACCATCCTTCCATGTCTCAGTCTACATCTGTAAAAACAGTAGCCCCCATGACAGTCAGTTTTCACAAATGCTTCTTGAGCCCTCATAGGATCCTTCAGGTAAAGGAGGCTCATCCATTTGAGAATCCCTGCCCCAGTGGCCACACTTCCTACCGCACACAGACTCTCCACTTAAATGCTGCCATGATTTAAATGTGAAATGACCAGTGAAATTTGTTTTAAATCCTGTCCCCAGGCCGGTGGTGCTATTTGATAAAACTGTGGAAACTGTAGAAGGTAGAACCTGGCTGAAGGAAGTGATCACTTGGAGTGAGCCCTGGGTTTTATAGCCTGTCCATGTCTTCTGGGCACACCCTGATTCCAGACTGTGGATGCGATTTAAGTACCTGGGCTCCAGCTCCTGCCTTACAAGTTTTCGTTTCCACAATATAATGTTTCCCCTGAAACTATAAGCCAGACTAAACTCTTTCTTAAATGGTATTGAGGCAGGCATTTGATTCAAACCATTGGCAAAGTAACTAAAACAGGTGTCTTCAGGTCTCCTAACTAGACATTCCATAGTTCTGACATTGCCAATATCTTGAGTCCCAAATGTAACTTAGACTTCACCTTCCCAGTCTTACGCACAGTCCACATGGATATCCACTACCTTACTTCACTAAACTAAGTGCTTTTCATACCCTTGTGTCCAATTTTTGCCCTGAAATTTAACCATTGAGTTGGCTAAAAGTAAAAGGACACAGCCATGTCATAGCCCGAGTGATGTTCTGTCTTGAAATTTCCTCTGAGAAACAAGTTAGCCCACTAATGGTGGGGGAAGTCTTCTGTACAGATGTTTTTCTTATTGGTTGATGAATAAAACACTGTTGGACAATAGGGAAGCAAGATATGTGGGACTAGAAGAAAAGCAGGATTCTGGGAAGTGTAGTAACAGAGAAGTTGCCATGTGATGCCAGGAGGAGAGGACATGTGAGTCTGGTGTTCTCGGTAAGATAGGACCATGTAGAAATGCATATATTAGTAGTTATGTGTCAATACTTAAGACAGAACTAGCCAATAAGAAATCCTAGTGAGCAACCAATAGCATTATAATTAATAAAGTGTCTTGTGTGTTATTTGGGGGCTGAAGCAGTGAAGGAACTCAGGAGGCTAGCTGGAAAGAGTACATGAAACACACTAATACAATACTTGGCCTCATTCAGATTTTCAGTACATGGACCAAGCAGAGATTCTTTCTTTACTGTAACATAAATGCCTTCTATCTCATTTACTCATAGGTTCATTCTTTTCCCCCTCAGAAACTCCACCGCCTCAGGTTTTCTTGTCTGCCCTTGTGTGAGCATTAGGATTTTTACAACTCGCATCTACACAGAGTATTAAACTACTCTTGAAAATCTGTGGATCATCACTAGCCCATAGCTTCAGACTCTTTATGCATCTCTTATAAATTAGTTCCAAAGGCCTACAGACATGGCCAAACTTCCCAGAGCAATGGACTTCATCTCTGGTACTAATTATCTATATTAAGTGTTTTCTTGTTACTGAGATCAAAAAAAGAAAGACCTTAATGCATAAAGGATTTGCTTTGGTTCAGATTCAGAGATATAATTCCGTCATGGTGTGTTGGGCCCCAACCCCATGGGGTCTCTGTGAGTTGCTGGTCAGCCTACAAGTGCAACTTGTTTTCCAGTCCAAGTGCTTTCTGTTTTCTAGTCCTGGCTTACTGCCCTGGCCTTGACCCTCTGACATCAACATTCAGCAGGAGGAAAACAACTTCTCTTCTACCTGGGGTTTTTCCACTGTGCTGTAAACCTGTATATAAAGAGGGAGACCTCTTAGCACTTGCAATGAAGACACACACACACACACTCTCTCTCCTGGCAATAAAGGCAGCACATGCATTCTCTTAGTACAAACAAATGGACGTCTGGTCTTTCTTTCCCTGATACCTTGGAGCTGCTTGTGGCGCTGGCGCCGCAATGGTGGGGAGGATGTGGCAGTTGGAGGGGGATAGTCTGTGGTGGTGCCAGCTTGTAACATACCTGGGTCATATCTTGACAAATCAGGAAGAGTAAGGGGAACCACAAAGACAAATTGCTGTGAAGACTGGTGCCCAGTAACCCTTTCCTGTCTGGTCTCGATGTTACCTCAGTTCCCAAAACAGTTTTACAAGGAGACAACTCAGTGTTCAAACATTTGAGCCCATGGGGGTGGCATTGCAGATTCAAATCATAGGAACCCTGACAGGACACCAAGGACTAGAACAACAGTTACTGTCTCTGAGTTATAAGCTTATCCTCACAGGAGCTTCCTGGGAGAGGTGGATTGTCCACAAATTTTGCCTCAAAAGAACTTCCTCATCCTTTTTATATGATATAGGGAAACTGATACACTTCACTTCAGAAAGACACAGACTCCCACACTTAAACCAATGAAGCATATAAGAGACATTCATTATGGCTGGTGATTAGGAGGGAGCTCATGCCTGGGGTCTCCAGGTGTGGCTCCAGGATAGCATTTTAAAAGCAAAGCCATGAGTGCATAAGAGGTAGAGGAAGGTCAGTGTACTCCCAGCTCTGGTCCTTGCTCACTACATGACCTGGATGAATCACTGCACCTCTGTGATCCTCTTCTTCCTCTGGCATCAGGATGTGGTGAAGTATTTAGACCTCTTTAGCCGCAGCCTTCATGACAAGGATAGAATGAAGAACCCTGTGTATCACCAGGATGCCTGACATCCCAAGGGAGACTAAGATTCCTGTAGTCTGGATGTGATGTCCAAAAAATGAGTAGCAATGGAGGGCTATGTGAGCCTGGAGAGCATAAGAGATTGAGATGCCCATTAGGAAGAGGCAGGGAGGAAAGGCCATCCTGATCTGAGCCTGTCTGTCTTTGCTGGGATTATCATGGGACAGGGTGGACCTCATTCTGCACCAGTCATCATGGAACAGAATAAGACAAACACACAGTTGCAATGTCACCGACACATATGCCACACCCTGCCAACAACTCCTAATGCAAGGACTGAAACAAGCCAAACACCAGGGTGCAGTTAGGATTTTAATGCTTGAGTGGCGATAACAGGCATGGAGACAACTGGGAGAAGAAGGGAATCTTGAAGGGTTTCAGGCAGGCTCAGGCAGACTTTCTGCGGATGGTGATAGCAATTTCTAGAGAGAACTGACACTGTCAAAATCAAAACCTCAGAAATTGAACAGAGACATGCAACTTGCTACCTCCCTCCTGCTCATCACTCTGTAGCTTCTGTGACCTCAAGTGTGTCATTGTTCACCTGAAAGTGAATAATGACAGTGCCATGCTATAAAGAATCTTCTGAGGACACAATGAGGTAGTGTGTGCAAGACACAGAATGTCTGTGTAAAGGAACATAAACACAGGCTGGTCACATCCAAGACCTGACACTGCGGGTGCCTGATTCCTGTTGCCTCAGGAACCCTGACAATCATGGGGAGCTAAAGCCTCAAAAGAGATCCCAATAATGGGAAGAGAAGTTAAAGACCCAACTTGGTCAGAATGTAATGGCCCTGCCTGGGACATTCCCACAGCTGTTGTGTTGGCCCACGGAAAGCACTCCAGTCCCCAGACTATGACTTACAGAGGAGGTTCTGAAAAGCATTTACGTCCAGGTTGCTGAGGATCCAGTGGAGCAGTGGACATATCTAGGAGTCAGAGAGAAGATGGGGAGGGAGAAGGAAAACAGATGAGAGTTTGCTGGCTATACACTGCCCACCCTCCACCAACAGAGGGTCTCATTTCCAAAACTGAAGAAACTTGGCTATCTGGAACTGTGGAATTGTAGCTGCCTGAGTCACACCTGTCCCAGGCAACTGAGAACTCACCACCATAGGATGCCATTAGTTCAGGATATGAAGATCTAGCATCCAGAACTTTAACAGCCCCCAGATTTCTGAACCTTGAACTTTCGAACCCTGGAAATCCAAGTCCTCGGGAAGATTAAGCTTTGGGCAACCCAATTCTCAGTTCCCTGCATTCATAGGTGCTGGAATGCAGTCATTCTAATTAAAATGTTTTGATTAAAAGAAAACGCTAGCTTAAAGGGCACAGGTATAGCATCGATGTTGTAAACAGCTCAAGGCAGCATCTGTGATTTCTGCCTCTTTTCTCTGCCACCCAGCTACTGAGAAGGAGGAGATGCCCACAGAACTCCCAAAGAGAAATCTGCACCTCAAAGGAGACAGGGTCACAAGTACACATTTATACCTAAAGATACCTCTCCTATCAAGACCCAGCCTGGTATGGGGTTCCAAGAACTGGGTACTTACTTGGTTTTGCAGCATGTTTTTCACTGTGTTTTTAAGGAGGCCTGATACACCTTCCAGTATTTTTTTTCATAACAATGCTTTGTCTGGAAAAGAAGGGACTTGCAAAGCTTAGTCACAAATTCAGCAAGAATAAGAGTCCTCAGAAGGACAGGAAGCACACAGCTATGCTCTGTGAACCCATTTCAGATTATTGTCCAGTGGCGCATGTTTGTATGGACCATCACTGAGCATCAGAGCGTCTCATGCCTAAGTAGTTCCTTCCAAAGTATCTGGATGCTAATCAGAGCCCAGAAACAGCACGACTCACTCAGCCTCTACTTACACAGCACCAGGCTGAGCCTTGGGACACCGGACAATAACTTCCTTCATAAAAGAGCGTCACTGAGTTTGCCTCCTCTCACGTTCATCTCTCATCCAACTGTTATCTCCTAAGGTTTCTATCATGAGTGTTCACTGAAGGAAAGGTTTGCTCTCCTGGTGCCCTGGTAAGTATGATGACCTGTGTAGGCATCCCCATTTTCCCTGAGTTACTGATGGACCAAACAGTTCTTTGCCTACCTTTTCCTCAGGATGTATTCCAGGAGACAGAATCTGTTTGCTTTCACCAAATTATTCTCCAGGGCACAGAACAATGCCTGCCTGGCCTTAAGCAGAGTTTTGACTAGAATAACAGAAAAATGTGGCCAACAAGATAGCCTAGTCTACAAAATATACCCCTTGCAATCATGAGGACTTGAGTTTAATCTCTAGTTGCCATATCAAGTGAGAATGCAAACCCAGGTGAGAGCACACACGTGTAATTCTGTGCAGTGAAGAGAGAGATGGGAGAGTCCTCAGCCATCTTATCCCACTTAGTGGTCTCCAGCCACTGACACCTGCGCATGTGTGCTCACACCCAAACACCCATCCCCCTTAACAACAATAAGCAAAGAACAAGTCCAGTTAAATATACAGTGAGTCATCTGGTCTAGTGTCACCCACCTTTGATCCTAGCCTTCCAGAGAAAGAAGGAGACAGATTGAACCTGACCGGAGCTGTACAGTGAGACCCTGTCATAAAATATGTTTGCACACACAGTGACATCAGGGACAAGTACTCTGAAGGTTAAGAGTATACTCTTGTGAGGAAAAGAGGGAATCAATCAAGATACTTAAAGATGAAAGGTACATTGATATAGAGTAAGGACTACAATGTTTTACATAACCACCACTTCCATGCAAAGTCCTGTGTTAGGAGAAACTAGTGTGAGCACAGAACAAAAGCCAATGTGTTTAAAGGAGAGTGAGACATGAGCTGTATCATGAGAGTCTACATGGCCTTGTGGATTCAGACTCAGTGGAGCAACATGAGTTTCCTGGAGCTGCTTGGCAGGTAGTGTCAAGAAGAACCCAGTCCTTTGGACTTGCTTGCCAAAACTGTGGTCCTGTCTTTTATTTGAGATTAGATCTTTGGTAGCGGGAAGGTGAGGGGCCCCAGGACATGGATATTGAGGCTGGGAAGAGAGGCCATCCCTGTATCCCTCACCAAGACTTCCCAGCCCCAGCCCTTGACTTGCAGGCCATGGTCCCTCTGAGACACTGGGTAGTGTCACCTCCTCCAACCCCTGCCTAATCCAAACATACTTTTCAAAGCATAAAATAAGATCCAAATTTTGAGGATCAAATGGATTCATTGACAAAAAATAACAAAATTGGAATGTCAAGGCTTTCTCTAGGAATTTTCTAGAAGGTAGAGAAGAGAATACATCAGAACAATCAGATCCCATGCTAACATGTAATTATCTCACTGCCTTCCCCTAGAGGTGAATCTAATGTTACTGCATTCAGAGGCTTAAGGCACATTGACCCAGCTGAAAGGGACATATGAGCCTTACCTGCCCAATAAGGAAATGGAGATTTTGTCTGTATCACTCCAGCATTTCCCTATGGTCAGAGTGGGAAGGCCAGTCTGGGCATCTGTTTGAACAGTGAGTGAAGTTATAAGGACGGAGGAAATAGCAACATCGACTCTGGAGCCAAGAAGAGGCCTGCAGAAAACAAGAGTCACACAAGGCTCAAGGCTACAAAGCTTTTCAGATTTCCCTGGTTTTCAATTATGTCTGTGGTCACAGTGCAGGGAATCTATGAGCAGTGTCAACATTATCTGGATGATGTCAACATGTTACATATTGACAACAAAATTTACATGTATGTTTAGGGCTTCTCTGGACCATGCTTGTTTAGCATGTGCAAGAATTGTCCTTGGCATTAGTCTAATAACAAAAATAATTACTAGTATTGTGTAGCAAGTATTACCTGTATGCATTCCTTTAAAATATTGTATTGTTTCATTACAACATTGACAGGAGGGAAGTCACTCTCTTTTTATTTATCAACAATTCCTGGGCAAAGAGAGGTTAAGTAACTACCCAAGGATGTCACTGCTCATGGCTTCCCAAATGCAACTAGTTTAAACAATCTCCCCCCCAAGTCAAGGTCACACAAAAGGGTGTGCACTTTCTCTAAATGAAATCCCTGGTCTCTAGAATTTCTATTGCACGGGTTCATGACTGTCATTTTCCTTAACCTCTCCTTATAAATAAAAAAGCATTAAATTATATTACTTTTATCCATTAGGTCTATGGCATATCCTTGATTTCGAGGGTCTTTCAGAGACACTATCTCAAAAATTAATGTGGCAAGTGATTGAGGTATAAAGTTAATCTTGACCTTGGATTTTCACAGACATATGTGAGTTAACATGAGAAACTTTGCACATCTGCATACACATTGCATCACATACAGAGCTGTATAAACATATGTTGTTCCCTTGAAATAGACAACCTGGCATGTTTTCACTAGACTATGTTAAATATTGATACTTTAGGCCTAGAATCTTCCTCCCTTTTACAGATTATGAAACTTGGCCTGCAGGCTACACTGTAGCTAGGGATTAAATGCTTACTCAATTAAGCTACATAGCACTCAAATCCCTAAATACAAGGAACACATACTCACAGAAACACTGAAGCATTCGCTTTCACTGGCACCTTCAAGTTAATGCCATTGCCGTCAGAAGATGAGGAAGTTTGCAAGTCCAAGATACTTAATTCGTTGATTTTCAACTTGCTCAAAATCCACAAGTGCACTCTTGTCATTCTTCCTAGTAGCATTTTCAACTGTCCTCATAGCCTTCTTTTCCTCTACATCCTGCTCAGAAATGTGAGTCTCTGTATTCTCAAGCACAGTGGTCTGAGCAAGGGCAACAATAGGCAGCAGAGACATAAATTGAACCCAGGACTGTGTGACACAAAACTCCATGAAGCTACTGCTTGGGACTAATAAGGTGTGGATTCCAGCTTCCTGTTTCTTGAAGGAATTTGGACTTTTACTTCTGGCTAAATTTGAAGAAGGAAAGCATTATTCTTAGAGAATTAAGATGCATGTGGAGAAGATAGAAAAATGGAACCTTCATCTTGAGCCTGAAATTATAGACTTGGATAATCCAGATGGGGAAACTGTTAAAACTGACTCTGTAGCCCTGTCTCACAGTTACTCAGTCTCTGAGACTTGCCACAGCCATGCAGGGGAAGAAGAGGCCTATCCATCTGTCTTTCATATTGCCCTGGCCTCCACAGAAAGGTAGTGACTTTTCTGAGAGTGAAAATGCACCAACTCACCCAAAATCATTCTGAGATGAAAAGTAGTTAAATACATCAAGGTCCAATGTGTTCAAGGCTTCTATAATATTGTTCTTAGCTAATGGCCATTTCAAGGTTTCTTGAAGAAAACCCACATCCAGGTTCTGGTTCTGAAGGGCATCTGTAAGGAAACATCGTTATCAGAGCCTGAACCAGTGGAAAATGAGCTGCCATCCTCTTTGTCTCATAGGAGTCAATTTCCCTGCAATGTTTCATTCAGTCTCTGCAACAGCTCAGGAAGGGTGGGATTGCAGCATCTCCATTGTTCACAAGAGGAATTTTAGACTCCTAAATTAGGAAATTTGTAGACACAGCTTGGGTAGTGCACTGTTTCCAGGATGACTTTGTACTAATGTATGTTGAGAATTTATCAACAAAACATGGATCAATTAAAGTTGATTGTATATATCTGTTTTCAGTATATACAGTGATTTTAGGATCTGTCCCTACTAATGAGATGCTCACATGGGTTTAACAAACTTAGTGAAGCAATTAAGAGAATAAACTAAGAAATGGAAAAATTTCAAACAAAGGAAAAAAATCATAGAGGGAAAGCACTGAAAGCAGCAGATAGGGGTCTCAAAACGACAGCTTGGAATCAGTCCTAGAGAACAGAAAGTGACACTGGAGCAGGAGAATGGAGTGTCCTAACAGAAGATCTCAGAGAGTAACCAGGGAATGAAATTAGTAAATGTCATGTGCAAGGTGGCATGTGTGAGGAATTCAGGATGTAGCAGTAGGAAAATGTCTCTACAGTGAAGCAAAGCAATTGCTAACTCAGGGACAAACAAAAGGGAACGCAACAATCTCTTATTTTAAAGGAGCCATAGCTTAACATGATGCTTTAGAATTCTGTTTGCAACTCAGTTGTGCCTGATAATTTCTCCACCATTTGTAATCTGTTTCATTTCATCAGAGTGTAAAGCATTTTGGCTAAGAACTGAAATATTGTATGCCTTTCTCTGGTTGTAAAGTGATGTTTGAGTTTGTGCTCCAGCTTTGGCTGCTGAAATCATAAACCTGTGAAGTATAGTCTTTTTTTCTGTAGATTGCTTTCCTATTCTGGGTCTCTTAAGTAATCTTTAAAGATTTCCCTTGTTCCTTAAAGCCTGTTTGTGATATACAAATATGAACATATTTTTTAAAAAGCATTCAAGGGTGGTCGTATATGATCTGTGTTTTCAATACAGTGGTGATAAGCAGTTAAGAGTGCTTGCTGCTCACCTAGATGCCCCTCAACCGAAGAGTGGATAGAGAAAATGTGGTACATTTACACAATGGAGTTCTATTCAGCAGAAAAAAAATTGGAATCCTGAAATTTGCAGGCAAATGGATGGCACTAGAAGAAACCATCCTGAGTGAGGTAACCCAGTCACAAAAAGAGAAATATGGCATGTACTCTCTCCTATATGGATTTTAGACATAGATCTGGAGAGTGCCAGCCTACAATTCCATGGCCAGAGAGTCTGGGAAACAGAACCTTCATTCAATGGTTGATGGAAGCAGAGGCAGACTCTCACAGCTAAACACTGAGCTGAACTCAAGGAATCCAGTGACAGAGAGGGAGAACGGATGAGCAAAGGGGTTAAGACTGGGCTGGTTTAGCCCCCAGAAATAGCTGACCTGACAAGGGTTAGCTCTTGAATCCCAGACTGATGTCTGGGAATCCAGCATGAGACTGATCAAGAACCCCTGAATGTGGGTATCAGTGAGGAGGCCTAGGTAATCTATTGAGCCTTGGGTAGTAGATCAGTATTTATCCCAGGTATACAAATGTACTTTGGGCTCCCATCCAACAATGTCTCTCGGGGGAGGGTCTAGGCCCTGCCCTGGATGAAATGACAGACTATGGACACCCCCATGAGGGCCTCACCCTCCCTGGGGAAATGAGGGGATATTAGAGAGGTTGGTGGGAAGGTGTGGGAGGAGGAGAGGGAAAAGGAGAGGGACCTGGAATTGACATGTGAAGCAACCTTGTTTCTAATTTAAATTTAAAAAAAGAGTGCTTGCTGCTCTTGCAGAGGAGTAGAGTTCAGTTCCCAGCACACATGTTGAATGACTCATGACCATCTGTAACCCCAGGGATCTGACACCCTCTTCTGACTTCTGGGGACACACACGAGCATATACTCATTGATACATACATAAAAACAAAGTGTTAATAACGGTTTAATCAAATGGATGCAGTCACAATACTGCAGCCTGGCTCTGAAGCAGACAGGATCTACCTAGTGTAACGATGCAGATAAGGTAGGTAGCATTGCTTAGATAGCTCCCTCTCACCACACGACTTCCTAGGCAACCTTGCACCGTACACCCTTTCCTCTGCTGTGGTTCCCCAGCTGAGGAATGAGGGACTGGCTCCTGTCTTCATATTTGAAAGTTGCCTAAGCAATGACAACGATAGAAGTAACATGCTCAGAACGTTTCCTGTTCCTCTAAGAACTGGTTTTCAGTTAGCCCAGTTCTTCTAAGTCAAAGAAGCAATGTGCCATTAAATAGACGGTAAGGATATTATGGACACCAAAGCAAGGTGTAGTGATGCTCTTCATGTCTAGCCAGTCAGCACAGACCAATAAGAAAAGCCAAACAAACTGCAAAACTACATATTAATATTTTTGACACACTTTAGATAAATTATGTCAACCTGTAGTAAATGTGTGAAAAATGGGAATATGGTTAAGATTAGAGAAATGCAAACTGGAATGAGTTATATCCTCTCACATCTGACAATAACAAACCAGATAAAGGTGCCCATGTTGCAATGGAGCATTGGGGTGGATTGGTGGGAGTCCTCCCATAGACTTCTGGACACACTTGATAGTGGAATGCTTAACAACAGCTACCATAATTTAAATGCAAACTTCAGAAAATTTAGAAATCTTACTTTGATTAATTTTTCCTGTGTGTATTGTGGTAAGACTCTATTAGGATATGATAGGATAAGACTATGTATTTCTAAAAGGAAAGTAAGAAGGGCATTAAATAGCTGCACATTCCTCTGTACCACCTATAAAAGACAGCACCAACACCACCCAGAAGCCTCTGCAATTATAGGTTTAGTGATTAGTTTCATTTTCTTGGGATCAGCCATCTCATAGCTCCTTTATTGACTGATTTCCAAGGCAGAATTCAAAATTCCAAATTACTCAGGGAACTGACAATATTACCTAAAAGAGATGCTGAGGTCTCAGCGAGCAGGCTACAAAAGACAACAAGGCTCCCAAGTTGGAACATCTTTGGTCCTGACACCTGGTTGGTCACAGGAGGAAAAAGCAGAAACAAGGACCACAGTTAACACTTGTCACTCTTGTATTTGACCCTCCTTCAGGACAGATGCGCTTCACTTCACAATAACAACAAGTGGAAGCAGCAAGGATGCCCATCATGAGGGATGGATAAAGAAATGAGACCAGGTGCACAGGGAATTTCATTCAGCCACAAAAGAAAGCTGAAATCATAAAATTTCAGGAAAAGGATGGAAGTGGAAGTCATTGTTCTTGACAAAATCAACCAGATTCTAAAAGTAAAATTACCCAAATTTGTGTATTGTGCAAATGAGCTTCACATTTCTGTGTGTGTATATAGCTATATGTGGTATAGCTATAAACATACAAATATATGAATATGTTGAATGTGTTTCTATGTGATCATAAAACAGTGACAATCAGTAAAGAAGAAATACTATTAGAAGAGAAGACAGGGAAAGAGAGAGTGTGAAATGAACATGACTTGGAAGTAAAAGGAAGGAGGAAGCCATTAGCAAGGGGTGGGAAGGGGAAGAGCATCAGGGAAGGGAGGAGAGAGGAACTAAGTATGAGGGAAAAGCCACAGAAAACCCACTACTTTGGAAAGTGAATTTAAAAGTAGTACTTCTTAACTTCATACAATTATGACTGGGGAAAGAAGTTGACTTGTCCTAGAGATGAGAAGACAAAGTCAGGAAGGGAGAGAAACTTTACAGACACAGTCAGGGAGTCAGGGGAGTAGGGCGTGGTTCAGAGCTTGGAAAGCCAAGCTGACCCAGACCATCCTCAATATACTCAGATCCTTTGTGCTTGCTGTCTCCTCTGGTGGAAAAATATTTCCGTGGCACTTTGCAACCTAAATTTATTGTCTTGTCTCAGTGAAACTTCAAACTTTCTATGAAGCCAATATGAGACTCCTCTGCAGAAAACAGTCCCAGGCTCCCAGGCTCCCACTACATGACTCCACCAACTTTGTGTCAGCACTGTCCTTGAGGAAATAGCTATGACTTTTGCCATTGTTAAGCCTATATGTCAATAAGAAGCTGTTCCCCATACACTGGAACAAGTCATTGAAGAATAAAACCTGAACAGTCAACAGAACACACAGGAACCTAGGCTGTCATTACTCCGACACAAAATCATCTATGTCTTAAATTTGTTAGAGTCAAAACTTCCCTAACACAAACAGTGCCTTCCCTCTGTCTCTTTTCCCCAAACCTCTTGAAGACCCTCATATGGACAGTCAGATTGAGGAGCCCCTACTCACTGGTTTTGAGGATTCACAGCAAATGCTCTCTGCGCAGTCTCCTTGGATTCTAGGGGTAAAAGTGGCATTTATATTTTAGTAACAAGATGAGAGGCAAGTCCTGGTTACAGGAAATTCTAAGGGGACTCCAAAGTAAACACTAAGTTTAGCCAAGATATTGCAATCCAAATGTCAGCCAGCTCACTAGAGTGGCATGATAGATGGCGAGGAACTTCTGCCATTACTAAGGCCCTGATTTGTAGAACCTGAGGATGCCAAGAAGAGGTCAGTTATGTATTGGCTGGGAAGAAGACCCAAGATGGATCAATGGAAGAATGTTCTGTGGGGAAGTCTCCTGGTATGTGCCTAGGTTAGCCCACTTATATATGAACACTCAGACGGAGGAGGTAACAAGTTTGTGGCCAGGATATAAGTAGGATAGAACTATGGTTCTCTGGTAGCTCTGTCCATTTTTCCTATTCACCTGCCCTGAATCTGAATGACCTTATGTCTCACCTGTTTACAGCCATCCACTGTTATGGATGTTGTGAAGAGGCACTAAAGACATCACCATGCCTGCCTTCTTGCAGACACAAGCATCTGTGTTTTGTAGCATCCTTCTATTTGATTTTGTTTAACTCCCCCACCCAAGACTATTATTTCTCAGAGTAGAAAATTCCCTCAACTCTAAAAATGAAAGGAGAAAAATGAGAGGTATCAAGGACATTGTGCTGCCATGCGGTCATCATTCTGATTTTTGAAGCCAGCAAGAATGGTTGAATGATTCACATCCTTCCTACCTTGATACCAGTCATGTTTATGGAGTGGCTGTGTGACCCACAGGTTACTACTGGGTAGGAGGCAGGTAATATGTAAATGCTCAATCCAGAATAGCTGTAGACTGAGGGGAGGAATCTAGCTACACTGTTTTAAGAGAACATATCAATGATGCTGAAGAGAATTAGGATTTAAGTTTATAGCTCACAGACTTGTTGTGCCTTAGGATTACTTTCCTAATTCCTTAAAGAAGAACCAAATTCCTTGTTCATGTCATTCTCTGGTCGACTTTGCCAGATAATTGTGATGAAAAATGTATGGATGAAACTGACAAGGTGTACTGTGGAAACATGCCTCCTACATGTGTAGAGAGGTAGTTTATTTCAATCAGTGAGAAGCTAAGGCATCCTGTGATATGGGATCCTCCTTGTAAGTTGAAAATGTATGATTTCATCATGCTAGCCTATATCTCTTCTTGAATCAGAAAGAAGGGATAGTGTGAGAGGCACTTGTTTCATGGGCCTAATGACACCTGTTTTCTCTCCAAAACCCACAGAAATGTGCAATAAGGAAATGACTCCTCATAGTTATCCTTAGACTTCAATAGGTACACAGTCACACATATACCTGCACTCATAAATGAACATCATACACACATGAACACAGAGTAGAAGCAAACAAGAATAAAAGACTTGTTTTATAGGTTGAATAGATGTGAATTATGATCAAAGTTGGCAAACAAACTCCACAAGATGTCAATGATGGAAACAGCTGTAAAATGGGTCTCATGAGTGACCTCCATGTCATGTTTGTTGAACTCACTCCACTTATTTTTTTTTGGTTTTTACGAGACAGTGTTTCTCTGTATTGTTTTGGAGGTTGTCGGTCCAGTCTGGCCTCGAACTCACAGAGATCCGCCTGCCTCTGCCTCCGAGTGCTGGGATTAAAGGCGTGCGCCGCCGCCGCTGCCACCACCACCACCACCACCACCACCCGGCTGAACTCACTCCACTCTTAATTCCAGAGTCCCAACTCTTTCTCCAAACCCTATAGTCATGTGCACAGTCCTTCCCATTATGGACTGCAGAAGCACAATTCTCTATAAGTAGACAACTGTCAAAAACCCCTGTCCATTATTTGCCACCAGGGACTGTCCTGCTTTATCTTCTTCTATCTCCCATTGATCTTGAAAGATGTTCAAACAAGAGGAAACTTTCTGACACCATTAAGAAGAGCCTATGTTCTGACTGAACACAGGAGCAGCTGTTCCAACACACAATCTCCTAGGTGCAGCAATGAGCAGCATGTATGCACTCTGAGTAAGTGCAGACACTTGTCTGCCATCTGACCTTATACTTACACACACTTATTTAGTGAGCCTGTTTACTTAGTGAGGTTAGTTTGAAATCCTTATTTTCCAGTGGAAGGACAGGTTTAGGAGAAACTCACAGCTGCCAGAGTTACACAAGGGAGAAACCCATTTCCTGGGTCCTTCCACCTAAATCAGATTGTGGCCTGGCCAGCTGGCATGCAGGACTGTCCTTGGGATTGCACATCCTGTTTCCTGTTTTCCACAGGCCCCATTGTTGGAATTGGTCACCAAGCTCTGAACTCTAAGCGGAACAGCACAAAAACTGGTGGGGCCTCAGCCTTGGGATATAGGACCACTTCAATAACAGCTTTTTTATTCTTTCTGCAGTTCTGGGAGTCCAGAAGAGGCAGTAACTTGACAGTGGACTAAGCCCCAATGGCATTCATACTTCAAAAGTGCAAAGATTTCAGTGTGCATCTATGACTGAACAATGTGGTTCTCTGTGGCTCTGCCATCTTCTTTCTGTGCATGGTCAATTTTTCTCCTTTTTTCTGCCAAAGATTCACATTTCAGAGGTGCTGGGAGGCCAGTACATGATTCCCATTATGTCCCTGCTCATATCAAAACCTTTTTGAGACCCAAAAATCTTTATTTTAGTGTTTCCTGCAGAGGAACCTTGAGGTGTTATTTGCACCCATGGTCTTGGTGATTGTGAACGAAGGATGGGAGAAACGACTTCTTCCATAGTTACAAAGAGTAGCCAATCTCCTAGCAACTGACCCATTTGATTGGCACAGTGGATGTCTGCATTGTTGCAGATACTAGTTTTCATTGTTGTTGATGATGTTTCATTTTTTGTTTGTTTTGCCTAACAGCCTCTATAAAATGATGACACACTGGAGAAGGGAGAGGACTGGCTGAGCTTCCCTGCTATCTCTGCAGCTGGGATAGACTTGATCCTCAGTGTTTTTTACTGAAACCCATCTACAGTTCAGTTTCCTGCATAATAAGCTGAAGGGTCTGAGGGTGCCTGACACAGGACTCAGCTTCTCTGTTTGTCACATGTATTCTCCTGGTTAAGACAGAAGATAGGAAAGTTAGTTCTCAGCAGGTATTTCCTTCCCATGAGATTCAAAGCCACAGTCTGAATCACAAACGAAGGGCTACTGGGACCTCCTAGCAAATATCTGTTAGCTGAACTGGAGTGAACTCCAGAAGGACAAGTATTGAGACACTGCCCTAAGCATAGAAGTGACAGGGATCCTGGGACCTTGGCAGGGAACACTGATCCCTGTGCTGTGGAGGAGGAGGAGATCCTAGCAGCAGATCTCTGGTCTATGACACTGAAGCCTTCATTACCAGCTAGGCTGTGCTCAGCCTTTCCTGTCTGACACTGGACAGCTCTCATGGTGTTTCCTTTCCTCAGTCTCCCAGATAGAAAAATGATAAACCCCCCCTGCACTCACTCACTGGCAATTTTCACAAATGCTTGTTGAATCTTCTTAGGATCTGTCAGGTAAAGAATTCCTTATCCACCTAAAGATCCTTCCAACTGGCCATGCTTCATGCTGCACACAGGGCTCTACTTATATACTTTCATGGTTTACCTGTGAAATGATCTGCAAGTGCTCATTTGTTAGAACTTCTGGTCCTAGGTTGATGGTGCTGTTTTAGAAGACTGGATGATAGAGCCTGACTGGAGGAAGTGGATCACTGGGAATGAGCCTTGAGTTTTATAGCCTGTCTCTTTCTCCTGCCCACACTCTGATTCCTTGCTGTGAATGCAATGTGATTAACTAGCCTCCTATTCCTGCTCCTTCTCACAATGCTTACCCTGACACAATAGAATGTTTTCCCTGGAACTGCAAACCACAATACCACCTCCTCAAATGGCTTCTAGGAAGATATTTTGTTGCAGCCATGAGCACACTAAAACAGGTGTCTGCAGGTTTCCTAGGCTGACACTGCACAGTTCTGACATCGATCACATCTTGGAATCTCAAGTGTAGCTTAAGCTACACTTTCACAGACTTATGTACAGTTCACATATAAACCCACTCCTTTACTTCACTATAATTCATAGTTCTCGTGTATTTATGCTCTGATTTTTGTTCTGGAATTTCACCATACAGCTGACTAAAAGAATTAGGTCACAAACATGTCATAGCCTATGTGGTGTTCCATCTTGAAATTTTCTGAGAAATAAGTTAGTTCACTACTTTAAAATTTGGCCCCATTCAGATTCAAGTACACTCAGATTCTTTCCCTAAAGTAGCTTCAATGGCTTCTAGATTAATTCCTCATTGGTTTGTTCTCATCCCTTCTGAAGCTCTACCTCCTCAGGTTCCCTGTTTGTCTTTGTGTAAGCATTTGGATTTTCACAACTCCCATCAGCACTGCACATTAAATTATTTTTGAAATTCTGTGACACTTCTCAAGCCCACAGGTCCAAACCCTTCTATCTCTCATAAATCATTTCCAAAAGCCTGAGGACATGGCCAAACTTTCCAAAGCAATGGACCTCATCTCTGGTACTAATTATCTGCATTAAGTGTTTTCTTGTCACTGTGATCAAAGACTTAAAAAGAACTTAATGCAGGAAGGTTTTTCTTTGGCTCAGTTTCAGGAGATATAATTCTGAAATGGTGGGGAAAGCATGGCATCTGGAGAGGCATAATCTGTGGTGGTACCATTTTGTAACATGTCTGGGTCACATCTTCACAAATCAGGTAGCAGTAAGTGGGACCAGAGAGGCATACTACTGTCAAGGCTGGTGTCCCAAAATCCTGTCCTACTAGGTTGTCCAGGCTCAATGGTCCATTAGTCTCCAACACATTGTTACCAGGAGGACTCAGTGATCAAATGTGAATTCATGGAGGGCTTTGCAGATTCAAGTCATAAGAGTGCTGACAGACACCAAAGACTACACCAACAGTTACTGTCCCTGAGTTTTGGTTTAACCAGACAGAGGCTTCCTAGAGTAGGTGGGTTGTTCACTAATTCTGCCCCAAGAGAAATTCCTTGTCACTCATAGCCCAGAGGGGAACTGGTATAATCCACTTAAGAAAGATACATACCTCAACACTAATTAACCAATAAAGAGTATAAGAGTCCTTTAGTTTTTAATTTTGACTGGTGACTAGTAGTGAGCTCATGCCTGAGGTCTCCTGGTGCTGAAGCTCAGGAGTAGCATTTTAAAGGCAAAGCCATGATTACATAAATGAGGGTCAGTTTAATCATAGCTCTGCACTTTCATCTCTACATGAATCACTTTTCCTCTGTGAACCTGAGTTTCTTCTTCATGGTATCAGGATATGGTGAGGTATTAAGAACACTGCTTTAGTTGTAGCTTCCCTGACTAGGTGGAATCGGGAACCATTGGCTGTCATCAAGATTGCTGATATCACCCAGGGAGACTAAGATTCTTATATATCACTTTGAGGTGACATCCAGTAATTTAGTAGCAATGGAAGGTCTAAGTGAGCCTGGAGAGCATAAAGGTTTCAGATGCCCCTCAGGAAGAGACAGTGAGGAAAGGACACACCCACCATAGTCTCTCTGTCTGTGCTCTTGGGTTTTATTGGGCAGGTGGTCCTCAGTCTACACCAATTCCATGGGACAATTTAGGAGTCATGGCAAAGCTATGAGTAAGGTTGTGACCCAGGGTGACCCAGTTCCATTGCCTGGCTAGCAGAGAAGGAACCAAAACACACTTGTGCATGTGTGGCTGGTGGTTGGGGTCCTGCCGTTGTCACAGAGTAACTGTGGGACCACTCTCCCCATGCTTCCATAACTCTTTCATAAAAGAAAGCTGTGAGGAATTCCCTAATGAACCTTTCATCTCTGGATTTGCTTTATCCACTAAGCTGTAAACTCCCCCGCTCACACCCCATACCCTGAAAACAAGTTCCATTGCAAAGATTAAAGCAAGCCACACACCAGAATGCAGTTAGGATTTTAATGCTTGGAGGGTGGTAACAGGAGTGGCAACCACTGAGGGAAGAAAAGAGTCTGGGAGGCTCCTTCAGGTGGGCTCAAGCAGACCTTGTGTGGGTGATAGTTGTAATTTCTAGAGGGAAATGCCACAGGGAGTCAGATGAAGCCACTGGGGACTACCCTGTAATGAGAACACAGGACATTAGAACATTGGCTTCACAGCAGTAGTAGAAACTGAATTTCACTAGACATGAAGGAGATCCACAGAAGCCTGGCCTAACTATATCCACTCATTACTGAAGTGATAGCTTTGGTTAAGGCCATTGAGAGGAGAGAGAAAGCTGTAGATTTGTGGCTTTGTTCTCCCACCTGGCCCTGATCCCTTTCATCCCCTCCTCTGTAGCAACGGCAGATAGGAAATGATTGAGCTGAAGCCATATCAACAAAGCCAGAGTCCAGATGCAGGCCAAGGATGAGGGTCTATGCTCAAAGGAAGGACTCAGTCAAAACTATCCAGTAAATTCATTTAGTAACAAAGACCCTAGCTCAGTCTGGGTTCATGATGCAGACTCAGGGTGTACTCAAAATCAGAGTTCAGTCTGGAGTCAGGATCATGTCTCAGTTTCTCTGGTCTTGTAACTAGGACAGGTCTGTCCCTAGCTGTATTGACAGGCTGCTGTGCACAGGGTACAGAGTCTACTTGTGGGGTTTGAAAGTGAACTGCCACCATAGGCCCATGTGTTTGAATACTTGGTCCCCAATTAGAGAAACTAGTTGGGCCGTTTAGGAGGTTTGGCCTTGTTGGAGCAGGTGTGGCACTATGGATGTCTCTCCTAGCTAGCTCACTCTACCTGGCGATTGTGTCTCACTTCATGAGCTCTCACTTACTGCTCCAGTGCAAGGCTTGCCTACCTGCTGCCATGCTCCTCACCATGATGGTCATGGGTTCTAATCCTTGTGAGTTGTAAATCCCAAAATAAATGCTTTCTTTTACAATTTCCCTTGGTCATGTTGTTTTGTCACAGCAATAAGAAAGTAACTAGAACACTATCCATACCAGCAGGAGTCATGGCATTCCTCCTTCTGCTCCTTCCTCTTCAAAGGGAGACTGGTAACTTTCCTGTCAGTAGATTAGCTGAAAGAAGCAAGTCATGAGTAAAATCTCAATATTTGCCCTGGGATATTGAACCAAGGCACATACAACTCATTACCTCCCTCTTGGTCATCACTCTGTCACTATTGTGACCTCAAGTATGTCAATTTTCACATGAAGGTGGGTAAATACAGTGCCTCCCTGTAAAGAACCTCTTGAGGACCCAATGGCATAGTGCAAGGAAGACACAGAAGGACTGGATAAGGGGACCTAACCACAGGCGGATCACCTCCAGGGCCTGACACCATGGATGCCTGATTCCTGTTGCCCCAGCAATTCTATCAATGAGGGTTAGGGAAGACAAAGGCACGATTGGTCTGGATTCGAGTTCCCTGCTGGGGGCACTCCTACAGCTGTTGTGTTAGCCCATAGAAGGTAATCCAGTTCCCAAGATGTGACTTACAGAGGAGGTCTTGAATAAGATTTGCATTCAGGCTGCTGAGGAGTGTCTGGAGCAGTGGACATATCTGAGAGCCAGGGAGAAGGTGGGAAAGTAGGAGGGAGAGGGAGAAGGAAGACAGATGAGACTTTGCTAGCAACATACTGCCTACCCATGCCCATCAGAAGGCCTCATTCCCAGGACCTGGGAAAGTTAATTTGAGCAATCTAGAACTATGGAATTGCAGCAGCCTAACCTGGGTTGCTAAGAACCCACCACTTTGGAATGTCAGAAGTCCAGCATCTGAACCTCTAGCTTCCAGAACCTTAACACCCTAGACTCCTGAAACTTGAAATCTTGAACCCTGAAAATTCAAGCTTCTTCAAATTTGAGTAGCCTCATTCACATGTCCTTGAACACAGTTATTTAAATGAAAGTGTGTCAATTACAAGGAAACATTAGCTTAAAGGGCACAGGTGGAGCATGGATGTGGTAACCAGCTCAAGGCAGCATCTGTGATTTCTACCTCCTCTCTCTGCAGCCCAGCTACTAGGAGGATGTGTCCACAGGACTCCCAAAGAGAAATCTGCACCTCACAGGAGACAGTGTCATGAGTACACAGCATCTCCTGTCCCCACCAGGCCTGGGTCTGAATGCCAACACCTGGGGACTTACTTGGTTTTGCAGCACGCTTGTCACTGTGTTTGTAAGGAGGCCAGATACACCATCCAGTACGTTGTTGATAAGGATGTTTCGCCTGGAAAAGAAGGGACTTGCAAAGCTTGGTCAAGAATTCGGCACGGCTGAGAGTCCTCAGAGGGTCAGCTGACGCACAACTCTGCTCTATGTTCTCATTTTTGTGGCCCAGTGGCCCATGCCAGAATAGACCATCACTGAGCATCAAAGCATCAAATGCCTAATAGCTGCTTCCTCGGTATCTGGTGCCCATCACAGCCCTGACACAGCACCATCCACTCAGCCTCTACTTACACAGCACTAGGATGAGCCTTGGGACACTGGGTAATAATCCCGTTCATAAACAAATGTCACTGAGGTTGTGTCCTCTCTCATACAGCTGTTATCTCCTGATGTTCCCAATCTGACTATTCACTGAGGGAGGGTTTGCTCTCCTTGTGCCCTGCTAAGTGGGATTGTCTGTGTAGACATCCCCATTTTCCTTAAATTCACTGTTGGACCAAATAGTCTTCTACCTGCCTTTTCCTCAGGATATGCAGGAGACAGAAAGCCTATTTATTTTTACCAAATCCTTCTCCAGGTCTCAGAACAATGCCTGCCTGGAAAACAGTAGATGAGAAAAATGGAGGCAATGAGATACCCTTGTCCACAAAATGTTTGCCTTGTAGCCTGAGGACCCAAGTTCCATTTCTAGTACCCATATTAGAAAAGAAAGAAGGAGAAGTCAGGTAAGAGCAAACACACGTAATCCAGAGCAGTGAAGACAGAGATAGGAGAGTCCTTAGTCTGCTTGGTGATCTCCAGACACACACCCATCCCCCAACACGCAAAATAAAGGACAGATCAAGTTTAACATAATGTCTCATCCAGTCTGGTGTCACCCATCTATGACCTCACCACTCAGGAGACAGAATCAGGAGATCTCTGAAATTGAAGCTCACCAGAGCTGTACAGTGATACCTGTCTCGAATTAGGCATGCATATTGTGACAACAGAGATAAGTAATTTGAAGGTTAAAAGCATATTCTTAGAAGAAAAGGAGAAGAAATATAGTCAAGGTCCTGAAAGATGAGAACATACATTGAGCTCAAGTAAGGTGTTTTATTTAATGAGAATATTCATGCAAATGTTCTGTGGTAGGAAAAAGATTGTCTGAGTCACAGAATGAAAGCCAATGTGTCTAAAATACAATGAGGGCAGACCAACATCATGAGAGTATTCTTGGCCATGTGTATTCAGACCCAGGGCAACAGTTTCCTGGATCTGATTGGCAGACTGTGGTGCTCTCTCTATTTTAATATCAAGTTTTTGGTACAGGGAAGATGGATGGACTCAAGACGTGATTATCAAGGCTAGGAGCAGAGGCCATACCTCTATTTCTAACCAAGGCTTACAGGTAATGTTTCCTTTTCCAGACACTGGATAACATCACCTCCTCAAATGCCTATTTGAAGCAAGCCTGCTTTATTAAGCATTCAATTAAAGATAAGGATTTTGAGAATCTGATGGAAAATGACAGGATTAGAATGTCAAGATCTCACTCTAGGAATTTTCTTTAGGGTAGAGATTGCTTCAGCACAACCAGAACTCATGCTAGCATCTAATTTTCCAACTGCCTCTCACTTGATGTAGATGTAATGTTAACATCTTCTAAGGCATGAGACATATTGATCCAGTTTGAAGGTACCATAAGTAAAAGAATGATTTTTTTCTGGAGAGGTCATCCTCCTGCCTCAGCAATGGAAATGAACATTCTATAGACTCAGGATAGATCTCATTGTTCTTGGACTGAGCATGTTCCAGGCTCTAAACTAAACATGTGTATTTTCTCATATCTTCATCCTAGAAGCTGACGAGTACAGACCTCTACTGTTCCAATGCACAGATGTGCAAACTGAGACCTGGACAGATGCAACTCCAGAGTGACAGAACTGATAGCTGTGGCAGAGTTGATATTTGAGGTTAGTCTGACTGTGAATTCTGTGATGCCGCTACCCAGGTTTTGAAACAGGATTAAAGTCAGTGGTCTTGAAGTCTCTCTCAGAGCCCAGCTCTGCCGGGTTAGATGAGCCTTACCTGCCCAATAAGGAAATGGAGATTTTGTCTGAATCACTTGAGCATTTCCCTATGGTCAGGGTGGGAAGGCCAGTCTTGGCATCGGTTTGAACAGTGAGTGAGTTTATGAGGTCCAAGGAAATAGCAACATCAGCCGTGGACCCAAGAAGAGGCCTGTAGAAAAGAAGAGTCACACCAGGCACAGATCTAGAAGGCTTTGTAGGTTACACTGCTTTTCATCTATGTGTGTGGACACAGTTCAGCCAATGGGCAATGTCAACATTGTCTGGATAATGTCAACATGTTACATGTACTCTACATACTTTACATGTTTAAATTGGACTTCTATGGGCCATGCATGTTTCTCACATGCAAGATTTTTACTTAGCATAAGACTAATAGTAAAAATCAATTGCTAACACTGTGTAACACAAATTACCTGTAGGCATTAATTTTAAGTGTTGTTCCTGTTATAATCCATTAATCATTATAATGGTGCTAAGAGATAAATCACACTCTCATTTTTTAGCATGAAATATCGGTTATAGAAATGTTAAGTAACTGCCACGGGATATCACAGCTCATGGCTTCACAAGTCTATCAAGTACAAACACTGCTTCCCCCAGTGTTGGTGAGTGTGGCCAGAGACTCGCACACACTGGACAAGTGGTCTCCATGAAGGATATCCCCAATCTCTAGAGATTCTTTTGCAAAGATTCTTGACTTGGACATCTCCCCATCTGTGTCTTTTGTTTTAAATTGAATAGCTTTAAAATTACCTTTTGCTTATCCAGGAAGCCTAGCCCGCATCCATGAGTTCTAATTACTATTAGAGACTTGATATCAAAAGATTATTTGGCATGTTCAACACATTGAGGCATATGAATGCACACATAAAACTTTATACACACAAGGGTACATGACTGTGTTACACACACGGGTATATTGCATACAGAATTCATTTCAAAGAGACTTAACATGGCATATTGTCTCTAGATTTTAGGCCTCAGAAGGTCCCATCTTTTACAGATTAGTAAATTTGGGAGAGGTCAAAGACTAGCTGGGAATTAAATGCCTTCTCAAATCAGCCATACTCTCTAAACCTACTCTCTAAATCCAATTGACACATACTTACAGAGACAAAGAGGCTTCTATGTCCACAGGCAACTTCAGATCGATGCCTTTGCCATCAGAAGACAAGCTAACTTGCAAGTCCAGGATGTTGAATTTGTTGATGTGCAACCTACAGGAAATCCATAAGTGCCCTCTTGTTAATCATCCTTGTAGCATTTGCACCTCTGCTCACCACCCTCTTGTTCTCACTGCATCCTCTTCTGAAAGGTGAATCTCTACAGTCTCAAGTGAAATAGACTGAGCAAGGGAAACAATAGGCAGCAGACACAGAACTCAAAACTTTGTGAGACCAAGGATTAGGACTAAGGGGTGTGGGTTCCAGTTTCTTGTCCCATAAAGGAACTTGGACTTTTACTCCCAGCTACATTAGAAGAAGAACATTGTCATTCTTAGAGAAGGACTTTAGGTAACAAGATACAAGTGGATATGAGTCACCTTCAGCCTGAAATTACAGACTGTGGGAAAGCAGATTGTGAACTGTCCAAACAGACCCAGTAGCTCTGTGTCAGATTACTCAAGCTTTAATGACTCTTGCTTCAGAACTCCTCAGCTCTATAAAAGAGAAAGCTTATCCAATTTGTCTTTGACTCTGGGTAATCAGGTAATTCATTTTCTGGGGGCAAAGACCATCAACTCACCCTAAACCATTCTTAGGTGATAAGAGGTTTAACTTGTCAAGGTTCAGTGTGTTCAAAATTTCCAGTACGTTGTTCTTGGCCAATGACAAATCCGTGGTTTCCTTAAGTGAGCTCACATCCAGGTTTGGTTGTGGAAGGGCATCTATCAAAAAAAGTTATCAGTCAATGCCTGCACCCCTAGGAAATGAGCTCCCATCCTCCTGGTCTCAGAGAAGTCAGTTCAGTTTTCTTGTACTGTTTCATTCAGTCTCTGCAACAACTCACTCAATTGCACAGAAGAAGAACCTGAGACTGCTAAGGTTAGGAAATGTGTCCACACAGCTGAGACATGCACTGTTTCCAGGATAACTTTGCACTAATATTTATTGACCATTTACCAAATAAAGAACTGACCTGCCGGGTGGTGGTGGCGCATGCCTTTAATCCCAGCACTCGGGAGGCAGAGGCAAGCGGATCTCTGTGAGTTCAAGGCCAGGCTGGACCGATAGCCTCCGAAACAATACAGAGAAACCCTGTCTCGTAAAAACCAAAAAAAAAAGAACTGACCTATTGGCCAAGAAATTGAAGTTGATTGTGTATACCTGCTTTCAGTGGTGACTTGAGGATCTGTTCCTCTTAATGAGATTCTCATGTGGGTTTGAGAAACTTAGACAAGCAACTGAGAGAATAAACTAAGGAATGGAATAACCTAGAACCAAGGAAAAGTCATAGAGGAAAAATATTGCTCCACCCAGTGAAAGTAGCAAATAGGGCTCCCAAGACAATAGCTTGTAATCAGTCCCAGAGAAAATGAATTGACATTGGAAGAAGAGGATCTCAGAGAACAACTGGGGAATTAATAGAATAAATGCAAAGTGCCAGAAGGCATGTGTGAAGTGTTAGGGATGTTTGTATACAAAATATCTCTACTATGAAACAAAGCAATTACTAACTCAGGAACAAACAAAATGAAACAACAACAACAATCCCTTATTTTTAAAAGGACACTTGGCTTAAAATATTTATTGTAACACAATTTTGCCTGATAATTCCTCCATATTTTGTAACCTGTTTCATTTCTTTGGGTGTAAAGCAGTTTATGTTAGAATTATGATATCACAAATGTTTTGTCCCATTTGTTCAGTGATGTTTTAGTTCTTCGTCAAGCTTTAGTTGCCAAAATCATACAGCTGTGAAGACAAGCCTGTGTTTTTGTAGACAGAAATCCTGTTCTGTATTGAGTGTCTTTAAGTAATGTTGAAAGGTTTGTTTCTTTAAGGCTGTTTGCAGTGTGTATGGGGGAGGAACAATCCTCCATTGATGGTGAGAATGCAAACTTGTACAACCACTCTGGAAATCAGTATGGTGGTCTCTCAGGAAAATGGAAATCAGTCTACCTCAAGTTCCAGCAATTCTACTCTTAGGCATATACTCAAAGGACATCTGTTCAATTATGTTCATAGCAGCATTATTTATAATAGCCAGAACCTGGAAGCAACCTAGATGACCCTCAACCAAAGAATGGATAAAGAAAATGTGGTACATTTACACAATGGAGTACTACTCAGAAAAAAAAAACTAAAACAGCAAAATCTTGAAATTCACAGACAAATGGATGGAACTAGAAGAAACCATCCTGAGTGTGTTAACCCAGACACAGAAAGAAAAACATGGTTTGTACTCAGTCATAAGTGGATATTAGACATAGAGCAAAGGATAACCAGTCTACGATCCATAATGCCAGAGAAGCTAGGAAACATCGAGAAATCTAAAGAGACATACATGGTCCCCTGGAGAAGGGGAAAGGGACAAGATCTCCTGAGAAAATTGGGAGCATGGGGGAGGGGGAGGGAAGTCAGAGAAAGAGGAGGGGAGAAAGGGAGGAGGGGGGGAATGTGAGGGATCAGGAAGGTCGAGTTGGGGGAAAAACAGAGGAGATCAAGGAAAGAGATACCTTAATAGAGGGAACCATTATGGACTTAATGAGATATCTGGCACTAGGGAAATGTTCAGGGATCCATAAGGATGACCCTACCTAAGAATCTAAGCAATAGTAGAGAGGTTATCTTAAATGCCCTTCCCCTGTAATGAGACTGATGACTGCCTTAAATGCCATCATAGAGCCTTCATCCAGTAGCTGATGGAAGCAGAAGCAGAGTTCACAGCTAAGCACTGAGTGGAACTCCTGGAATCCAGTTGCAGAGAGGGAGGAATAATGAGCAAAGGGATTAAGACCATGTTGGAGAAACTCACAGAAACAGCTGACCTGAACAAGTGGGAGCTCATGGACTCCAGACTGACAGCTGGGAACCAGCATAAGACTGAACCAGGCCCCCTAAATGTGGGTATCTGTTGGGGGACCTGGGCAGTCTATGGGCCCTCTGGCAGTGGAACCAGTATTTATCCCTAATGCAGGAATAGACTTTGGGATCCCATTCCCCATGGAGGGATACTCTCTCAGCCTAGATATAAGGGTGAGTGCCTCAGTCCTACCCCGAATGATGTAACAGACTTTGATGAACCCTCATGGGAGGCCTCACCCTCCCTGAGGAGTAGATGGGGTGTGATGGGGTGTGGTGGGGGGAATGGGAGAGTGGAAGGGAGAGGGAACTGGGATTGGTATATAAAATAAGATTGTTATTAACTGAAATAAAAATTAATTTTAAAAAAGCATTCATGTATGACCATATACTATCTATATTCTCAATGCAGTTAAGAGTGTTTGATGCTCTTACAGAAGACTAGAGTTCAGTTCCTAGCACCCATGCTTGATGACTGAAAACCATGTGTTCCTCATGGGGATCTGACACCCTTTTCTGGCTTCTGGGGGTATACACACAGATACATACACAAAGACACATACATACAAATGAAAAAATTTTTAAAGTTTGAATCAAATGGATGTACTCACAATAGTGCAACTTGACTCTGTGTGCACAGGATCTAACTTATAATAATGCTGACAAGGCCATTTCAGCTAGCATTGCTTAGATAGTTCTGTCTTGCCACACAACTCCTTAAGTAACCTTGAACCTGACACAGTTTTCTCACTGTTGTGGTTCCCTAGCTGGAGAATGAGAGGATGGATCCTTTCTTCATCTTTGAGAGTTACCTAAACATTGACAAGGATTGAAGGCAGCTTATGTAGAGCTTTCCTGCTCCTATAATAACTTTTTGTCAGTTGGCCCAGTTATACAGCAGAAAGCAGCAGTGCAATTAAACAGAATTGTGGGTAGTTTAAGGGCATCCAAACCAGGTGGGTTGATGCCCTTCATTTCCAGCCAATCATCACAGACCAATAATGGCAAAGATCAAAAAATGCGAATGACACACTATATTGGAGAGGATGTGAAGAAAAGGGAACTCTCCTCTACTGCTGATGGGAATACAAACTTGTACAGTCACTTTAGAAATCAGTATGGCAGTTTCTAAGAAAATTGGGAATCAATCTACCTCAAGATCCAGCATGACCACTCTTGGCCATATACCCAAAGGATGCTCAATCACAACACAAGCACACTTGCTCAACTATGTTCATAACAGTAGTATTCGTAATAGCCAGGAACAGAAAACAACCTAAATGACCCCAACTGAAGAATGGATAAAGAAAATGTGGTATATCTACATAATGGAGTATTGAAAAAAATGACATCATGAAATTTGCAAGTGAAAGGATGAAACTAGAAAAAAATCATACTGAGTAAGGTAACCCAAACACAAAAAAGACAAACACAGTATGTACTCACTCAAAAGTGGATATTAAATGTAAAGCAAAAAATACCCAAGCTACAACCCCAGCCTCAGAGAAGCTAGGTAACAAAGAAGACCCTAAGAGGGATGCATGTATCTCTCTGGGAAGAGGAAATAGATGAAATGTCCTGGTTAAACTGGGGGTAGGAGGGAATAGAGAGGAGGGGATGAGGGATGGCAACCTGAGGAACCAGAATGGTTGACTTGGGGACAGGATAGAGGAGGAGGGTCTTGATAGAGATATCTTGATAGGGGGCCATTATGGGGTTAGGGACGAACCTGGTGCCAAAGAAACTCCCAAGAACCCACAAGAAAGACCACAGCTAAGACTTTTAGCAATAGGGTGAGTATGCCTGAACTTGCCTTCCCATGTAATCAGATTGGTGAATACCCTGATTAAAATCATAGAAACTTCATCCAGTACCTGATGGAAGCAGAGATCCACAACTAAGCACTGGGCTGAGCTCCTGGAGTTCAGTTTAAGAGAGAGTGAAGGGATTATACGAGCAAGGGGGTCAAGATCATGATGGGGAAACCCACAGAGACAGCCGACATGAATTTGTAAACATTTGAAGCATGCATGTTTCTAATTTAAATAAAAAATATACATAAAAAGAAAAGTTCAAACTACATATCAGCATATATATGCTAATAATTTTGCCACAACACTTTAGTTAAGTTATGTAAACTTATAGTGAATAGTAAATAGGATGGTTAGGATTAGAGAAATGCAAAGTGAGACAAGTTACATCTGCTCATCTCTAATGATAGCAAATCAGTTAATGCTGTCCATTTAGTGCTTAAAAGATAGCAGGGTTGGAGGATAGGCTCCTACAAACTTCTAGAGGAAATGAGATGGCTACTATTATTTAAGATGTGTGTACTATTTAAAATTTTGAAATCCCACTTTGATGAATTTATCCTGTGTATATACTGGCAAGATTCTATTAGGATACAATGTCATGGCATTGGTTATTTCTAAGTAAGTGAAACAGGAATTGAATGTCTGTGCATTTCTCAGGAAGCCACCCATAAAAGACAGCACTGCCCCCTCTTAGCTGCCTCTGCTATTGCAGGCATAGTTTTTATTAGGGTTATTTATTCTTGGGACCAGCAGACAGATGGGATCTATATTGACTCACCTCCAGAGGCAGAATTCAGAATGTCCGTGTTGCTCAGGACATTGCCAATTTCACCCAAAAGTGATTCTGAGGTCCCGAAGAGCAAGCCACACAAGACAATGAGGCTCCCAAGTTGGAACATCTTTGGTTCTGACACCTGAATGGTCACAGGATAAAGAAGAAACAAGAACCCACAGTGAATTCCTGTCATTCTCACACTTGGCATTTCTTTAAAACGGATATGCTTCTGTTCAAGATAGGTAAGAAATGGAACTAGCAAAGATGCCCACTCACAGGAATGGATAAAGAAAGTAAAGTCAAGTACACAATGGAATTTTATTCTGTCATAACAAAAAATGAAATCATGGCATTTCAGGTAATAGATGGAACTGGAGTCCTTGTGCTTAGCAAAATTAGCCAGATTCAGAAAGGTAAAATACCCTAAAATATCTTATTTTCTGCCATGTGCAAATCCATGTGTGTGTGTGTGTGTGTGTGCGTGTCTGTGTGTCTGTGTGTATTTGAATGTGTTGGATGTGTGTGCCCTCATAAATAAGGATACCAAGAGAGGAGAAGAAGAAATCTTAAGAGAAGGGAAAAAGTGGAAGAAGAAAGCAGCAAATGCACATGACATGAAAGTAGAAGAAAGGAGGAAACCATTAGCAAGGGATGGGGATGAGGAAGGACAGCAGGGGAAGGAAAGAGATAGGAACTAAGTATATAGAAAATGCCACAGCAAATCCACTAATTTTATGGTGAATTTAAAAATCATAAACAAATAAATACAATGATAACTTAAGAAAATGAGCAAGCAAGGTAGGGAAGGCAGAGAAACTTCAAAGGCACAGTCAGGGGGTGGAGCTAAAGGGCTTGGAAAGCCAATCAACTCCAACCTATGTTCTCTGTGCTCAGGTCCTTTGCACTTGCTGCCTTCTCTGCTTGAAACTTATTTCCTCTTCTCTTTGTAACCTAAATCTATTTTGTGGATTCAGTGAAACTTCATACCTTCCATGAAGCCAACTCCAGATCCCTCCCCAGAGACCCGGTCGAGGCTCCCACTACCTGAATCCACCAAGCTTTGGGCAACACTGTCCTTAAGGAGGTAGCTATGGTTTGTGTCACTGTTGAGCCTAGACTCCAGTAAGAAACATTTCTCCTCACACTGAGACAAGTCATTGATGAATGAAGTCTGAACATTCAACAGAACCATGTGAGCCTAGGTTGTCATTAGTCTGACACATGTTTTCAAATTTGTTAGAGTCCAAACTGCCCTAAGACAAACAATGCCTTCCCTCTGCCTCTTTGCCCCAAAGCCTCCTGAAGACCCTTGTATAGAGGGTCATGTTATGGGAGCTCATACTCACAGGTTGGAGAAAGATGTACAGGAAATGCTTCTATCTCTACACAGTCTCCAGAGATGCTGGGGATGACAGTGGCCTTTATATTGTGAGACAGGATGAGATGCAAGCCCTGTTTCCAGGATGTTCCAAGGAGATTCCAAAGAAAATACCTAATGTTAGGCAAGTTATTCCTACCCAAAGGTCACCCAAGATGCCTGAGTGGCAGTGACGGACTTGGCACCAAGACTAAGGCCCCAACTTGTTGATCCTGAGACTTCCAATGAGGGGTTGATTCAGTAAGTGCTGGGAAGAAGACCCAGAATGGATCAATAGAATAATACTCTGTTGGGAAAGCTCCTAATGTTTGTCAGGACTAGCCCAGTCATCATTTGAGAACTCATAGAAGCAAAGCCAGCAGCTTCTGGTTGCCCAATGAGTAGGGTAGAAATGTGACTCTCAAGTTGCTCTTTCTCCAGCTGAGTGTTCTAGTCATCTCCCATGGACAGAGTCAGCCACTGATGGTTTCTGTTAGAGGACAATAATGAAGTCCCCTTGCCATCTCGATGACTGAAGCATCTGTGTTATAAACTAACTGCCTATGTGATTTTGTTTAATCTACCCCCAAGGTAATTATTTCTCGGAGTAGAAAATACCAGCAACAGTAAATTAAAAGGGGGAAAACAAGTGAGGTCACAACCATGGAGGTGTGTTTTTTCTTAATGTAACCAGCAAGGCTTGTGAATGATTCACATCCTTCCTACCTTGACACCAGCCATGTTTATAGTATCACTGTGCTGTGTGACCCACTTGTTGCTATTGGGCAGGAGGCAGATGATGGTTGTGGGCTGAGGGGAAGGAGTCCAGCTACCATGATTTAACAGAATAAACCAAATTAGGTAGGGTGAACTACTATTTGAGGTGAAAACTCACAAACTTTATCTGACTTTGGGTATTGCTGGATCTAGGTCTTCAAATGATTCCATGCTCTTAGTATTGGATTCATTCTCTGGTGGACTTTGCCAGATAAATGTAACTGAAAATTTTATGAGTGAAAACAGACAAGGGGTATATGGAGACCCACCTCCTATGGGGGTAGAAATGTGGTTTATTCCCATTGCTCAGGAGCTAAAGCAATGCTATGATGGAGACTCCATCTCATAAGCCAATCGTGTGTGTTTTATTATTGCTAGCATGCGTCTCTTCTTGAGTCAATGAGATGGGTCCACGGGAGAGGTGCTTGCTTTACAGGACTAATGACTCATGTTTGCTCACCAGAGCCCACAGGATGGTGGAAGAAGAGAACAACTCCTGATAGTTATACTTTGACCTCAACGGGAACACAGTCACACATGTACCTTCACTCATACATGGACATCATCCACACACAAACACAACATAATAAAAATAACGATCAAAGACTGATGTTTCTTGGGTCAAATACATTGTGATGTCTGACTAAAGTTGGTATCTGGCCTCCCCAAGATGTCAAGGATAGAAACATTTGAACAATAGGACTAACAGTTGGTGAGCTCACCCCACTCTGAATTTCAGACCCCCCATCTCTACCTCCAAACCCCTGTAGCTCATGTGCACAGCACCTTACAGTGTGAACTACAGAAGTACAAGCCTCTAGAAACAGACCTTTATTTGCCACCAGGAACTGTCCTGCTTCATCTAGTTCTACCTCCCAGTGACCTTGAAGGGGCTTTGCTGAAATGAGAAGGCAGGGTCTGTGCCCCAACAGAATACAGGAGTAGCTGTTCCAACACGCAGCCTGCTGGGGGCAGCAGTGAGCAGTATGCATCAGCTCTGAAGGTAAATGCAGTCTTTTGCCTGCTGTCATCAGAAGGCAGGTTTGAGGGCTTCATTTTCCACTGGAAGAAACAGGTTTCTGAGAGGCCCACAGGTGTCAAGGTCACACAGGGTAGAAATCCAGTGCCTGGGTCCCTCCACCTATGTCAGAATGCAGCCAGTTGGCAGGGCAAGACTGTCCCAAGGCTTGTACATCCCGGTTCCCACAATGTGCATTGTTGGAATTGGTCATCAAACCCTGAGCCCATATCAAGCCAGAATAGCAAAGAAACCAGTGGGAGCTGGGCTTTGAGCTAGGAGACAGCATATAACCAGGCCACTACAACTTAATAAGCTTGGAGGGCTTGTCCTCAACATGAGGTGACCATAGCAAAGGATAAATGGCCTTGTCGTTCTGATAGCTTAGGAAGCCAGATCCCTACTGTTGCCCTGACATGGATTGCTTTCATATGCAAGCCTTCCTGTACGCCTGCCACTGTGTTTCAAAAACTCATGAAAACCTTGTTCCCATCTATGGACAAAGAGTCAAGGGCCATCCCGAAATCTTGTTAGATTCACCAGCTTTGTATTGGCATAAAAACAGACACTTGGATCAATGCAATCTAATTGAAGACCCTGACATTAATCCACACACCTATAAACATCTAATTGTTGACAAAGAAGCCAAAATTATACAATAGAAAAAAAGAAAGCATCTTCAACATGGTGCTGGCATAGCTGGATGTCAACAAGTAGAAGAAAGCAAACAGATCCATATATCTATCACCATGTGCAAAACTCAACATAAATCCAGTTACACTGACCCTGATTAAAGAGAAAGTGGGAAGTAGTCTTGAGTACTTTGGCATGGGAGACCAATTCCTAAATATAGCACAGACACTGAAAGCAATAATTAATAAATGAGACCTCCTGAAACTGAAAAGCTTCTGTAAAACGGAGGACACAGTCAATAAGACACAACTTCAACCTAAACAATGGGAAAATATCTTAACCAACCCCACATCTGACAGAGGGCTGATATCCAAAATATATAAGGAACTCAAGAAACTAGACACCAAAATACCAAATAATTAAAAAGTGGGTTACAAATCCAAATAGAATTCTCAAAAGAAGAATCTCAAATTGCCAAAAGACACTTAGGGAATTGCTCAACATCCTTGGCCATTAGGAAAATGGAAATCAAAACAACACTGAGAAACTATCTTAATCTGTCATAATGACTAGGATCAAAAACACTGATGACAGCCTATGTGGGAGAGGATGTGGAGTAAGGGGAGAACTCCTTCATTGCTAGTGTGAGTGCAAATTTGTACAGCCACATTGGAAATCAGTATGGTGGTTTCTCAGAAAATTGGGAATCAACTTACCTCAAGACACAGCAATACCCATATACCCAAGGACATTTTCTCAACTATGTTCATAGCAGCATTATTTGTAATATCCAGAACCTGGAAACAAGATAAATGCCCCTCAACTGAAGAATAGATAAAGAAAATGTAGTGCATTTACACAATGGAGTATTACTTGGCAGGAAAAAAAGACAACAAGAAATTCATAGACAAATAGATGAAACTAGAAAAAACTCATCCTATTGAGGTAACCCAAACCCTGGAAGACAAACACAGTATGTACTCACTCATAAATGGATATTAGACTCAAAGCAAAAGATACCCAGCCTATAGTCCACAACCCCAGAGAAACTAGGTAAAAAGGGGGACCCTAAGAGGGACATGCATGGAGGGCCCCAGGAAGGGAAAATAGTTAAGAGCTCCTGGGTAAATTGGAAGGGGGGATAAAAGGGAGGATATGAGGATAGGAACATGAAAGATGGAGATGGCCAAGTTGGGGGAGGAATGGAGAGGGAGAATAATGAAAGAAATATCTCAACAGAGGGAGCCAATATGGGACTAGAGAGAAATCTGGTGCTAGGCAAATTCCCAGGAATCCACAAGGATGACCCCAGTTAAGACTCGTAGCAATAATGGAGAGGGTGCCTGAAATGTCCTTCCCCTGGATTCAGATTGGGGACTACCTACCCTGTCATCATAGAAATTTCACCCAGTAACTGATGGAAGCAGATGCAGTGACCCACAGCCAAGCACTGGGCTGAGCTCCTAGATTTTAGCTGAAGAAAGGGAGGTAGAATCCTAAGGGCAAGGGTGGGCCAAGATCATGATGGGGAAAAACCACAGAAACGGCTGACCCAAACTAGTGGTAGCTCACGGACTCTGGACTGACAGCTGGGGAACCTGCTTAGCACCTCACTAGGCCCTATGAATGGGAGTGATAATTCTGTGGCTTGATCTGTTTGTGTGGCCTCTGGCAATAGGACCAGGACTTATTCAGGGTTCATTAACTGGCTTTTTGGAACCCATTCACCGTGGTGGGATACCTTGTACAGCCTTGATGCAGGAGGTAGGAGCCTGGTCCTGCCTCAAACTGGTATGTCAGACTCTGTTGACTCCCCAAGAAAGGCCTTAGCCCCACTGAGGAGTGGTTGGAGTTAGGATGGGAGTGGGAGAGGAAGAAGGGGAGGGAGAAGGAACTGGGGATAAAATCAAAAAAGTTAAATTATTTTTTAAAGATGTAATTTCACAACCCAGGAACACAGCCTGAATGTGCTGGAGTTGGAGAGGTAACCTCAAGCCTGTTGTGGGTCCGCCCTAGTTGCCTCAAATGCTAAACAGGTTAACTTACACCTTGTACCAAGATGTTCTTGGCACGATGGCAGGGAAGTTCCTGGGGCATTATGAAGGTGGTGAGGGGATTTCGAGGGGTCAGGTCAGACCCTGTCACTGGGATTTGACCTGGGTTCAAATCCTCACTCTTCCCACTGCTAGCTGCATGACCCGGGATGGGGCTTCTTTCACTGTGAAGTGGGACTTGAAACTGAACCTCACCTCCCTGCTATCCTCATGCACAGAAAACAGGTGGCAAACACACGGAAATGTCCTCACACTGGGCACGCTGTGCACACGGCTGACAGCAGTGTCTATAATTACATTACATAACACACATAATGGGCTCTTGTTGGGGAGAGGCTGGGTTGTCAGAAGTCATCTCAGGTCTGTGCTAGCTGCTCTGAGTTACCTTGGAAAGAATATCCCTCTCTGTGTACAGGTAGTCTTCTAAAATGTAAAGTACTTCTCTGTTGAGGACAAAGGCTGACCCCATAAGGGTCATGGAATAAACTTCTCATTGAAAATACTCAGTGAGGCATTAAGGATTATCTGTCCCAGGCTAGAATTTCCTATCCCTGAT